TTATTATTATTATTATTATTACATTGCATTATCTTGTCACTGTGAGGTGCTTTGCCACATAATCTAATTTTCTCTTCACAATGGCCCACTAAAATGTGGAAGACAGATACTGGTATTATCATTACGGTACAAATGCAGCCCAAAGAGGACAGGCTTTTGCTGAGGGGCCCAGAATTCTAACAAAGTCGCTGTCACCCGTGTGTGCCGCTCTCCGTGGCGTTTTAGGAGCAGTAATGACATTGCGCAGCCGCTCCGTGGCCTTAACCAGCCCTGTCATTCTGCCCTTTCTGCTTCCTCCGTCCCACGGGCCGTTTCTGCGGCGGAAGGGTCTCCCGTTTACGGGATGGCTAGGACTGCTCACTCTTGGTGTAAGAGAGGAGGTCGGGATGGTTTTTCTCCTGGAAACACGTTACCTGAGCATCCTCTGCACGAGATTCCCCGGCATCGGATCTAAGTGGCCACTCACCCCAGAAAACCGTGTCCCCGCTCAGCCTGAGCCGAGCTAATCTTAATCTGAGGATCAGGCGGAGCAGGGTCAGGGCTATTTATACCCCTCACTGTACTGTGAGGGAAACTCTCCAACAAAACTACCTGCTGGGGACATGCCCAAAAGGTATGAGACAAGATGTTTCCTTGGCTTCTGATTTCGAAAGTGATACCCTTCCCCCTTTCTGTTAAACTCACGCACTTACCCCTTCCCTTACCGGATGTATGAATTTGGGGCACAGGAGAAGCCGCAGCATCCCCTTAGAGAAAGAGACAGAGAGACCAAGTGGACACCAGAGGGATGTAGGAGCCACTTTGCACAGTCATTTGGGACATTGCCCTGTGGGATGCATTCAGGTCCTGCTCTCTACCCGGACAGCTTTGACGCTTCAAATCATCCGAAAGGGCTTGGCCCACGACCCAAAATGACACTGACATTTTTCATTACTTCCCTGGGTTTAAATTTTTTTAGTTGTTTAAAGGAGAAACACCAAACTCACAGTCACGTAGCCAAGTGTGCCCCCCAGACGCTCGCTTTGGCTGCCACAGTGCATTTGCATCTGGATTCGAACGCACTGGGGCAGAGTGTGGCTCCCCAGTTCTGCCGCAGGCCGCCCCGCTCCCTATCGCTGCTTCACGCATTCACGTTTGCAGCTCCTGATTTTCAGGGTCAACTTCCAATACGGTTTCTCTTCAACTCCGGACACAGACAGACACGTGGACGACGTCCCGGATGAGGCAGCGAGGAAGGGACGCCGGACGCATCAGTAACCAGCTCCAGGCTCTGAGCTGGGATGTCCCTCCCGCCTCTCTGGCCTCCCTCCAGCCCCTCGTCCTCCCCAAGCCGGGATCATCTTATTAAAACACAAGGCTCAGCAGGCCACCTCTGCCTAAGGACCCGCCGGTGACCTCCCTGTGCTTCCACCACAGGCAGACGCCTCCGCAAGACCTGGCCTGGCCGCCTCTCTCCCGCCTGAGACCCCCGCCCCGCTTCCTCCAGCCACAGGCTCCTCACCCATACTGCCCGCTCCTTCACACGCACACACATGCGCACACACGCGCGCACACACATGTGCACACATGCACACGTCGCCCATACTGCCCGCTCCTTCACACACACGTGCACACACATGCACACACATGAACACATACACACGCACACGCATGCACACGTCGCCCTCGCATCCTCCCCATCGTGGACACACACGGCTCCCTCAGAGCATCTTTGGTCTGGGTCCGGTCCCTCATTGCTCCATGGCCTCCAAGGAAATACACGTTGATCCCTGTGCCTGACTCACCCCCTCCCCCGACCGCGAGGCCTCAGTCCCGGGCGGCACCCACGTGGCTCACTGGGTGCCACTCGTGCCAGCGCGGGTCCGGGACACAGCGAGGGCACAGTAAACACCGACTCAGTCAATTCCTGAGCAAACGGGCACATGGACGGTCTCGCGTCCCAGCCCACCCTCGCAGCGGCGGCCTGGCCCAGAGCTCGCCCTGAGAGCAGGCGCAGCCCGGCCCCCGGACCTTCCTGGAACAGCGGAGGGAACAAGGCGTGACCGGGGCTGTGGGCAGCACAGAGTCTGCACCTCGAGGAGCTGCAGAGGCCTCCGTGGCCGCGTCCCGGCCGGAGGACACGTCTCCCCGGGAAGGACGCGGCGGGCTGTGGGCGGCGACTCCCGGGGCGAGGATCGGTCTCCGTGGTCGCGGCAGAGCCTCCCCGAGGCTGTTTCTGCTGCAAAGTCCAAACAACAGATTCGCCGCCTATGGAATCCTGAATCCAGAGACAGGGATGGAATTGAGGACTTTGCACTTTGACCGTCCCTGAGTCCATAAATCGTTTACCTTCAATTTATCTTTTTAAAAAAAGGAGGGACAGCTTTTTATCACCACTAAATTCTCTTTTCTGCGGCCAGAAAGACACGGGAAGAGTTTACGGCAGGCTGGTAAACAGATGGCATCTGCCTTTCCGCCCACGGTGTTTACGCAGAACAAACCCCAGGAGCAGCAGCTGCGTCACTGCGAGTGGCCACAGCTGGCGACGCTCACGCACCCGGCGCCTCCGCGCCTCCCTCTCCTGGCAACAGAGGACGGCAGCAGGAAGTGCACCCTCGGGACGCGTGGGGTGGTTGTTTGCACATTCTCCTCATTTCCTCCCTCGCTGATTCGTTTTCCTCTTTACACAGTGACCCTAAGTGCTTGGTCCTGCAATTGAGGAATCTTCATATTGGCGCAGGTCGCAGCGCGTAGGCTCAGGAAGTACCGTCTGCCTGTTGCGCTGATTCTCCCGCAATTCATGTAACTATCAGTAGTGCAGTGACGTCACATGTCACACGACCGTCAGTCGAGAAATCATTAAAAGACAATCACTCCACAAGCAGAACCCAGCCCGGGTGGGTCCAGTCTCTATCTGTTCATCCGTATCACAGAACAATTAATGTACCTGATGGAATGTGTTCTCATCAGAACAAGATAAGAATAATTTCTAAGTTTCAAAAATAATATCGACAGTTTTAATGACGTCAGCAATAACTACATAGCCAGGCACAGTGCCACCGCCTGTAGTCCCAGCTCCCGAGAGGCCGGGAGGCTGAGGCAGGAGGATCGCTTGAGCCCAGGAGTTCGAGACCAGCCTGGGCAACACAGCCAGAGCCTGTCTCTTAAAAAAAGAAAAGAAAAGAAATAACTATGTAAATTCCAAACCAGAGCAGGCAAATGATTTTAAGTCCAAACTCATAACTATCGATATGCCCCAATTATGTAACAATATGATTCGAAATAACCAAATCAGTAAAAAGCAACTTAAAGACATTTCTATGGCCTCAAAAATGAAACGTTAACGTTTTACACCCCAGAAATCCACACCGATGCGGGTGAGGCCTGAAGCTGAAGCCAAGTTAGCGACTCCCCCAAACAATCGAGGGAATCTCTGCCTCGACCTGATCCGAGGGCCCCTGGGTCAGAAGGCCACAGGCCCAGCAGAGAGACCCTGAAGGAAATGATCGAATAAACAGGCGGAAGTAAAACGCAGTATTGTCTGCCCTCCCCACGGAAAAGAAAATTTGCTTTTACTCCCTTACGTAGCCTCACGCTCAGTCTGTTCCACCTGCCCAGTACCTTCCCCTCTTGGAAACAGGCGACCGTGGGGTGCAGACCTGCTCAGCTGACTCTGTCTCAAGAGCCCTTTCAAACCTCAGACTCGATGACTCCGTGGCCTCTAAGGGAGAAAACGGCAGGGGGAAATATACAGAGGAAAACGAAATTACAAATGTGAAAACGGGTGGCAAGTTGTGAAATTCTACGTAAGAAGTGGAACGTCGTTATTTAGGGGGAAAAGTAGGTTAAGGGTATTTTGAGAAGGAACTTGATTATAGTAACGAAGGCTCCCGCCTCTCACCCTGAAAACAGAGACGAAACTCACACCGAGGTGAATCTGTTCTTCCTCCCACGTCAGATGTTTGCCGAAGCGGAAGGCCACTAACTCGTCTGCGGGGTGTGCATTTAACTCTCTGGTGACGTCGCTCTTAGAGCTGGTGACAATTTCAAAATACCGGGACCCGGTGCAAGTAATAAACTTAGCATATTGCTGGACAGCGGCAGTATTCGCACATGGAACCCCACCTCTCAAAGATACCGTGACAGAGTGCGCACACGAGCGATGATTTTGAGAGACAGACAAACGGCCTATGCAAGCAGGACAGTCCCCGAAGTGACACGATCCACAAACTGCTCTGCAGGCTGGAAACGTCCCTGGACAGGTGGCCTTTGAACCAGCGATCGTCCTCCCTCGTGGCAAACCTGGGTGAACACATTAGGGCTGCTAATTGCTTCCACCTGTTTGACATCTTGGCCTGAGGCAGCCACAAATCATTCTTGCAGAGCTGAACCCTGCAAGTTGCCTAGAACTTGTCATAAGAACGTCATTAACTGGCTCGTGTTCTAGTACGTTTTAGCAGCCAAAGATGCTGAGCGTATTCCTAAAGGAAATGCCAATCTCCAGGGCTCCGATAAACAATAAAAGGGATGGGAATGGTTATAAAAATAGATTCCTCTTTTGCTAAGTAGTGCACAAAATGCATTAGAAAGTGTCGGCTTCCCCCTTAGAGATCGCTGACCCTGTGTGGGGTTCTATCCTGCTCGATTTTCTAAACAGGCAAGAGAAGAAGGACCTGAGGCCTCTCGAGAAGAGCAGCGTTTGGGGAATTGTCACGCAAAGACGCAACAATAGCATTGACACAAAATAACAGTAGTTGTTATTGCGAGACGGAGGAATTTCAAAGGCAAAAAGTGAATGAAAAATAAGTCACAGGCTATCACAGTAGAATACGATACTGACGTTCAAAGTTACTTTCAAGAGTCAAAGTCACAGGAATATTATTGTAGTGAATGGGCAATGCCAGAAGGGAGGAAGGGAACCAAGATGAGGGAAAAGAATTTAAAAGGTGGCTGCAAAAGAAATCACAGGTGTGGAAGCGTTTTGCAATGATATCCTCTCCTCTCGCCTCTTCCTTCAGAGCGGCACCCACAATACAGCTAGACCAGCGTGACATCCTCAAAGCGAAGTCTTGCTCCATCTGATTCTCATGGACAGACCGGAATGCATTACAGGATTATTCTGCAGAGACGTGTTACAGAATTATTTTTAAAAATATTATGTCTTTGCCGTGGTTCTCTTACATGTGACATCTAGAATGTCTCCAGTGAGAGCCAAATGGAAGGCAGAGGGGTAGACAAAAGAACAAGATATTTCCAGCCTCACGAGTTATAAATGTCAGAGTTCCAGTATTAACGGAAATGCCTTCGCTTTTTGAAACAAAAATATCTGATGCCTTCACAAAAGTATGCTAGAAACTTCTTACAAAAACCTCATACACAGTGTGCACTGGTAAATGTTTAACAGTCAACTCTGGTTTGTAGCACGGCCTATTTTACGGGATAAATCTGTGGCACAGGTCGGTGCCCTGTTAGCAACGGGCCGCACGGCAGGAAGTGAGCGAGCGAAGCTTCCTCTGCATTCACGGCAGATCCCGGGCGCTGGCATCACCCTGAGCTCCGCCTGCCCTCAGATCAGCCATGGGAGTCCCAGAGGAGCGCGGAACTCACTGTAAACTGCGCGTGGGAGGGATCTAGGTTCCGCTCCTTATGAGAATTTGTCCAGAACCAGCCACCCGCTCGTCCGTGGAAAAACCGTCTTCCACGAAACCGGTGCCTGGTGACAAAAAGGTTGGGGACCGCTGCCGTGAACACGCCCACCCGGACAAATGCGGAGCTGCCAGCGTGAAGTCACCTGGCTCACACATCTCCTGAGAGCTGCAAACAGGGCAAGCCCCTCCCACAGCCCAAGCCTGCAGAGAGCGACTGTCCCAGATGTACGTCAGCAGCTGCTCCACGGGCTCTGCCAGAGGGGAAACTGAGGCCTAAGAAATCGGAAGAATTTTCAAGCACATTGTAAGAAATAAAATCAGAATAGCCTCTACCCTATTGCTTTTCTTTATGTTTCGTTTCAGGCTGGAAGAAGTAAAAGAGGCTTGTTTGGTTTGGGATTTTCCTGTACTGATACAGAACCGTTTCCAAGCACCGCGCCCCACCCTCAACTCAACTCAGGGGGACGGAAAGGTGAAGAGAACTAGGGAGTATTTTTTGACGGAGTAAATGACCTTAGCAGTTACTAATTTACCAGATTATATCACCCTTTGCTCTAAAATTAGCCGTAATAAATCAATGAAGAAATGTTACTTTAACCCATTTAATAGTCTGTCT